TTTTTAAACATCAGTATCGACAAGGGCGCGTCCAGACTTTTAGAGCTGGGGTGGCCCAACTAAGGCACTGACTTGTACAGAGGTGGCCTAAATTTTGTGTGCACACACATGAATAAAGGGCATTTATTTACCCCTTCTGTCTGCACTAATCGGATCGACTTTTAAGTAACACAAAAATAATTGCAACATATACATCTTCTAAAATTAATTCTTCAAGCACTAAAAAAAAACGTATACATCCAAATTTTCAGTTTAAGGTATTCAAAAAAAATGTAAGCAAACATGTGCATACTGAAAACTATGAGCATGGCAGATTTCAACATAAGTCTCACCTCTGGCAAGGGGGGCCCATTGCCACCCCTGTCCACCACTGTGTACCCCTGACTTTCACAATCAGTGCATCTCCAGTTAAGCCATTATCTTGTGCTTTTAGTTTGCTGAAAAATGTAATACCAAACATAAATGGCAGTGAGACAGATAAATTGTTGTTCACTGTCAAATTGAGATAATAAGCATGTGGGAGTTTGCTTCATTCTCATTAGAAAAGGTTGACATTTATCTGTGTAACTGTGATTTACTGAACCACATCGATGGCTAAATGTCTTTGGTAAAACAGAAGTTTATGTGATGTGAAGTAAAAGGGAAAAAAGGATGAGCTCACTCTATTGTTTGCCGTTATGTTTTCTTTCAAGCAGGGGGGGGGGGGGGCTGTGTTTTGCTGCAACATTATAGGCCAATGTCACATGACAACAATAAAACAACACTGAAATAACAATGAAACAGCCATGATGTCGGGTTAATTTCTTTAGTTGACCAGATTTCTTTCATTGGTCTCTTGGTGATGGGGTAGGAGGCGTTCACAAAATACTTCCCCCTCACCTCGCAAATCTAATCATTACGCTTTACCCAAAATAAACCCTAACGCTTGGCTTCTTTTGTGAATATCCAACAAGATAAATCCGGTGTCTACTTCATGCAGTGCACTCTTACGGTTCAGTTACAATATTTTCCGCATACAACACAACGACTGACATTTGTGAATACATTTAGAATCACAGATCCCTTCATTTTTTTATGTTTGCTTGCCTGTGCAGAATGATGCATGTTTTAGATTGACACTTTTCACATTTGCGAGTTGCAGGTGTTGAGTTTCTCTATGATCACCTCAAATGTGAGAGTAAGATGTGCACACACAAGGATGACATTTCAAATTCGGAATGTGAAGCTTGCACAAGTGTGATGTGGAAACTTGAAGCCTCCAGCACACATAAGCACTGGGAACAGACTGTTCAGTGAGCTCTATTTTTTTTTTAAGGGAATATATGCATTACATATTCATAGCATCTGGATTTTCAAATAAGGGGAAGGTAGTGGATGTGTAATTTTTCTCACAAGGTAATGGAGCAATTTTTGTGTCTGGAAAACACATCAGACATATCATTTTAGACAACTTAAAAATGCCTGGGAGGGATATTGAATATTGAAATGCATGAAATAAGCAAAATAAAAGTAAATGGTGCTTTAAAGAAAACTTTTAATAAAAGTCACTAAGACCACTTAACTAGAGGAATGAATTTATAATATTTATGCAATAGATTATTTACATGGATAGAATGATGTACGAGAGGGGATGAGAGTAGGGGTCGAAGGGTGAGGGATGAAAGGATGAGGGGTGGGGGGGTTATGGTAGAGGTCGTAGGGTGAAGGGATGAGGGTAGGGGTTGAGGGGTGAAGGAATAGAGGAATGAAAGGTGGGGGGACTAGGGTACAGGTCGTAGGGTGAAGGGGTGAGGGTAGGGTTTGAGGGGTGAAGGAATAGAGGAATGAAAGGTGGGGGACTAGGGTACAGGTCGTAGGGTGAAGGGGTGAGGGTAGGGTTTGAGGGGTGAAGGAATAGAGGGTAGAGGGGTGAGGGTAGGGTTTGAGGGGTGAAGGAATAGAGGGTAGAGGGGTGAGGGGGTTAGGGTACAGGTTGTAGGGTGAAAGGGTGAAGGGATGAGGGTAGGGGTTGAGGGGTAAAGGAATAGAAGGGTGGGGGGGACTAGGGTACAGGTTGTAGGGTGAAGGGGTGAGGGTAGGGTTTGAGGGGTGAAGGACTAGAGGGATGAGGGTAGAGGGGTGAGGGGGTTAGGGTAGACGTCACAGGTTGAATGGGTGAAGGGATGAGGGTAGGGGTCGAGGGGAGGGAGGATGTCGTGAAAGGTCTAATCTGAAAATTAAGTTGTCACGGATGGTGTCGGGGTAGGTTGGTACACGGCGAGGTTTAGACTCAGAGTTGGGGAAAGCAGAATCAAAGGGGAAAGAAACAGTTGAGGTGTTGTTAAATACGTATGGCATGGATATAGGATTATTATTGTGAGGCGTGGTCTTTATTCCTGAACCCAGTTTAAAAAAACTGAATTCATTAAAACAAAAGTAATTGTGAAATAATTTCCGTTTCCTCGTACCTGATTGCACTCAACCCTCCTCTTCTATTTTTCCCTACATTTAGAGATTTATTACATGTTCAGTCCTCAGAGCATGCGTTTCATGTTGGTTTAATGTGTTGTAAGATGAAAGGAAGGCTGCAGCTTTATATCACAGAGTAGGGTCTCCAGTTGAAAAACTTTTAGTCCCTCGCCCAAAATGCAGCATCTGCTATTGCTGCTCTGCACTGCAGGGAAAAAAAAAAGATGGATTCCTTTTCTTTTTTATTGACAAAACATTGATTTGACAAAGACTTCCTTTGTTCTTCTATCCTCAGGGACTGACACCAACACGTCTCCCGATTGCATTTTAGATGACTGAACTATTTTCAGCAGTCGTATTTGTAGCTTTGCTAAAAATATCCATTGACTTATGTGTCTATTTAGGAGGTTGTGATGACATTATGAAATACAACCTGCATTAAAGATGGTTGAAATCACTGATGTTCACATGAGCTGGCTTTCTTTTAATCTCTCAGACGATGTGTCCACGTATCACATAGTATTCATCTGTTATTCTGTTTTCCATTCGGCTGGCAGTTAAATTAACTGCTACAATATTTATACGAAATCTCCCCGCTCGCAGCACAAAGCGGAACACAGCATAAACGATCCTGATAATCTATTACTGTAACATGTTTTGGGATGAGTCAGAATCAGCCACATGCGGTGTATCAAAGAAAACACCAATTACATTTACAACAGGGAGAAAATTCAGACCTACATATTTTTTTTTCTGAATCAGATATTTGACTTTTTGCTGCCTGGCATACTGAAAAGACTCTTCAAAGACAAGGTTTAATTATTTTAAAACCTCAACAGGAATATGTTCCACTTAATGCACCACAGATAATGAACACTTTGGTTCAATTTGGGTAGGGAAAATATATATTTTTTGTCCGTCATAAATAACAGTTTTACGTTTTTTGGAAGATTATTGTATTATTGTTTTTGCATTTGATATGTTTGAAATAAAAACATTTAAATTGCTTTAGAGAAAGTCAACTGAATTTAGTACAAAGGTGGTACTTTTGGAAAAAAGTCAAATTCAAATATTCATTATTAGATTTTTACACATCTTTTTGGTGAAATATTCAACACTTAAGCTCTGTTTTAAATCCACACATTGACCAGATTCAAAATCACACACTTAACGTTTACTTATTCTCACTCATTTATCATTTGAACCAAAAATCAAATATTTATAAATCTGGATAAGATAACGACTAACAGGGTACCCAGTGCACAGCCAACTCACGTCCTCAAGTACCAGCTAGTTGCAGGAAAATACACAATTAATAAAATTAATAAACCTTGGTGTTGTTGAGAGCAAACCATGCATAATCAACAGAATCAACAGAATCAACATAATGTGCCTTTAATGACAGTAAGAACACGACACCGGTCCCATAATTTGTCCCTCAAATCGTCTCCAGTTTCAGCCCAAAGCCACAGAGCTCATTCTGTAAAATTCTATGCAATGGTGTTTAATCACGCTGCTACTATCGTCCCAACATTTCTGCCTATACACTCTCAGGGCTTGTGTCAACCCAAATGGGGGCGTGGTCGCTCTGATGAGCAGGAAGTGATGTTTGACTGCTCTCATCAATAACAACCTATTACCTTATTGATGTATGTGTTTTCCAATAAACACCAAACATTAAGTGTTTTTAATGGAGGTTAAAATGCAGAAAACAATCCATAGGTGATAAGAAAACTTCTTCTAATTATTATTACCTTCCAAGTACCTTTTGAGTCATACCAATGCAAGATTAACTAAGAAAATGTCATTGACCCTTACTGCTACAAAACGATCTTTACCAGCCACCATATCTGTATCTGTTTTCTTTTTTTTACATTCTAAATTGATATTGTAACATTCTCAAAAATCCCGTATTGGTTGGGCTCTGAATTGTTCCAGCTATGAGTTGGCAGAATTCTCAATCAAAACTGGAAAGGACACATAGTGAAAAATTCTCGAGTCAAGCTGAAATGAATTCAGGTTATGAAATAGTAATGCCATTGCCAATATCATACTGGCATGGAAGGCCAAATTCAAATCAGTTGCACCGGCAACTGAGCCCATTGAATCAGGTGGCATGCATTAAGCTGTCAAACAGTTCGGTGAGCAGGCTGTTTCTTTTTCACAGCACAGGCAGCGTTCAACAACATCTGTCAGATCTGCCTGCAGGACTGCTGTACTTAAATACTCCAATTGCTCCTGGGAACCTCAAATCGATGCTGCCCTTTGTGTTTGGATCCAAAAATGTTCAGTAAAATGAAATGTAAAAAAACCAGCCTCGAGATCCTCTGCCAGCTACGAATGCATAAGATTGGGAACAAAAAATAAGGAAAGCCCCGATGATTATGCATCCTGTCCAAACGCTGCCGTAGTAAGCAAATCAACATCCATTTTCAGAACTAACAACCCAACACCAAGCACACGACTTGTCTCAAACTGCAAAGATTACTCTGTTCTTTTTGTCTAAAGATTGAAATTGGTTGAGATAACAAGAGAAGTTGACAGTCACTCACCCACAGCCTTCAGGGAGGCGTACTTGTTGATGTCCTTGTTTTGCTGCTGCTGCTGCTGTTGCTGCTGTTGTTGCTGCTGTTCGTAGACGTGAGCCAGCTGGTTGAGGGCAGGGTACGGGTGCTGTTGGCCCATGTTTGAGCCCGGTCCCACGTTGTTGTTGATCTGACCCCCCTCTGTTGGCAAGGACACATGACAGGACAAGGTTACTAAAAGGTTTTTTAGAAGGGAAGCATCTCGGGCATCTTGACAGGACACTTACAAAACACCTGCGTTTTTAAACTGTATCTATTTAAGCTGCTTGAAATGCTATCCATGCATTCACATCCATTCAAGTCAGGTCCATCAGCTCATGGACTCCTGCCATCAATCCACAGCTGCAGCTGTTTGTATGTCATGCTGCCTATTACACATTTGGGCTGAATCCAGAGTGTATATGTACACAGACAGCAGATGCAGCTTATCAGTTACCATACATGTCAGTACATTTATGTCACTGGAGCTTATAAATCAACCTGAATACACATTTCAGTATACTGAGCATACATTTGTACTTTTAACTCAACCTATCGGCATCAATAGGGAGTGTCTTTCCAGAGGTTAGGAGTGAGAACTGACATCTCAAAGCTGAGCATTTATGGGTATTTGGTTCAGATTGTTTAGATGCTGTTAGAGTGTTCAAATGATACATTCAGCCCTTTTAATAATAATAATTCTCATCTTAAAACATACTTGACTTACGATGATGCTTTGGGAGTTTGAAGAACACTACAGTTATCCTTGGAAGTAGTTGGTACACCCAGTTAACATCTTAGGGATGAGGTTTCAATTTGTGATTGAACAAGCTGTTGAACTACCAGCATAGTTAATAGATTTGCTTATTATATAGGCTAATTCCATCACATATGAACCATGGGCTGCAAGCTTCAGTTTTAGCATGAAAAGTCACAATATATTATTTAGCCATTCATATTTTATCATGACTGTTACCTACCTCTCCATATTTTTTAGCTAACCGTTTGCTTTAACCCTTTAGCTAACTTTAAGCTAAATTCATTGATCACTTCTTGCTAGGCTATTTCATGAACCTCTACTGTTTTTTCAAATGATTTATTTTTGGGGTGAAGCCTTCATTTAGCTAGGACAGTGGATAGAGTACAAAATTTCAAGAGAGTGTGGAATAACATGGGGGACAGTAGCCGCGGGTCGGACTTGATCACGGACCGCCTGCTCGGAGGACTATAGCCTCCATACATGGGACGCGACCTGACCGCTTGGTCGTCAGCCACAGATAAACCTCTACTTTTAGCTTACTATTTTCACTGTTTATCAGTAAGTTTTAGCTAGCCAACTAGCCAATTTAAAGAATGTATCCATTGCCCGTTACTTGAGCCAACTACTCTATCCATTAGCTTTAGCTGCTAACCATTTAATATGCGTCTATTTAAGCCAGTCCCATTGCAATACTCTCAGGTGATTATATCAACTCTTTATAATCTATAGCTAAAGTCTTATTACCTACATACTTTAAGCTAACTATCAAGATTTCTATATTTGCTTGAAAATGTGTTGAAGCATTCTCATTAGCAACCAATCAATGCGCGTGTGGATATGATGTGTGGCAACTCCGCCGGGGTTTAAGAGAGCGGCAAGAATGTGTAGCAGTCAATCAGTCTGACTTTGAAGCAAAGCCAAATGTGAAAAAATATATGCAGGAACTCAGAGGACTCTCTCCTTAGCATTGTCCTCTCACCGCGCAAAGCCTGGCAGATAATTGTAACTGAAGGCGAAGGTGTCCTTGCTAAATTAATACATTCTGTTATAAGCCCCCAAACTGCCTCTGGAAAATATTTTTGAAAATGTCAAAAGGGGGAAGGCAAAGTGGAGAAATAAGTCTGAAAGACATAAAGGGAGTGGGATGAATTTTTTTTTTTTAAAACATGACAAAAAGGCACAAGAAGGATGAAGATGGAGAGCAAGGAAGGAAAATCTGGACACAGATTATGTACAACTTTTCCTCAAGCTAGGCCCTTTTGGCCATCCAGCTGCCCATCCAAAGGGCCTTTTTTTTTTTTTTTTTGCTTCTCAGCAAACAGAAAGGGGAAATTGTGTGGTCACAACCTGACAATATTGATTTCCTCCACCATTTTCTCCCTGTTTCATCTCTCAGCGGTGCATTGTTGAGCCAAGACGTGTGCTCTGAGGCTCTAAACCTGCCGGGTCCAACTGTCAAGGAAAGGCAAGTTGTGTTGTTCCTAATTAATCACTGAGCCCTGGCACAGACTCAAACCACACACACACACACACACACACACACACACACACACACACACACACACACACACACACACACACACCCACACACACACACACACACACACTGACTGACTGACAAGGTAGTGAGAGTGGAGACAATTAAAAAGAACATCAGAGTGAGAAACAGCATGAAGGCGTGAAGAAGAAAGAATAAGAGACTCCCCAATGTGATGAAATGTCCCATGTTGCCTGATAAAAAGGTATTATAAGTGCATGTAGACGACTGGTTCACTTAAGGCTACAGGAATTCAACTAAATTGTAGCCTGTGTAAGAAAGGGTTTGGGCGAAAAGATTGAGCTAAAGCTCTTCTCTATCATCCATTTCATAGAATTTTGGGGAAAACAACATTCAGTCACGAATAAAGAGAGTCCACTTCTTTTTTTTTTACAGCAGACCAAAATGGCCGACACGAGGTCACCAATTTTCTCATTTCGTAATGGATTTTGTCTGGTTGTGAAGCGCAATTATGGAATTCAATCTCCTATCAAAGCACAGGTGCACCTCGTTCATTTCGGGCGCTCTGCCATGAAATGGCTGCAATAGTGTGAATCTGTGATCAGCTATGGATTTAAAATATTAAAAAGCCCAAAGTAACAACCATATGGCGACGGCCTCACATTTGTACTCTTTTCAGATTGCAGTTTTATGCAAATGTGTTAGACGCCCAACATGTAAAAATCTGTTTGGTTTTAAACAGTGTAACATGTAAAGAGACCCTACAACACAAGGTTTTAAATAGGTTTTAAATGTGTGTTCTGCCAGGTGAGCGATAGCTGCTTAGGCTATGACAAGATGATACATTTTTAGCCTCCCTTAACATGAGTTACTGCTAAATCCCACAGGACTTGTGTGTAACAACGGTCTGTCTGAAGCTGATCACACACTCTCTACATCAGTGCTCGTGTTTCCGAAGCGCTATACTCCACTCCTGCTTCAATCAAAATACACGCTGAGTCAATTTTCTGACATTTTTTAAGCTCTCCATCCTGAAGCTCATTTAGAAAAATAAAGAATCTGAAGGTGCAGGATGAGATATTTGTAGCAGATGTTTATTGGTTTCCATTTCCTGGAGCCCGTAGACCTTACTATGATAATTAAGCTTTATGTAATGTCTATGAAATCGACATCTGCATGCAAGTGCAGACCAAATCCTCCTTAGACGTAGTCTTTCAACACCTACTCCATTCTCACATATCAAGTTGCTCGTCTGACTGTGCACAATTGAAATGCAACAGTGCTCTTGGCTTGAAGTCCTTTATCGCTAACCGCTGGCTAACCAGAAGCCCCACTAAGTTCGCTGTTGCTTCCAGAGGCATATATTGTGACAGACCATACCTGATAGGTTCAGAGATCGCTATAATAAGTAAAAACAGCAAAGTGAACCACCTCTAAATACAAAAGAAGAAATGTAACACTGATTAAAATGTTCCCATAACAACCATATCTGCATCTGCAATTTCTCCATGATGATTCCAGGAATGCATTACCAAACCAATTGAGCAACGTCTGTGAGTTCAGGCAGATAACTTGAGCTACACTGAGTTGATATTTGACATGCATCATTCTCACATGCACCTATCGAAGTGTCCTCCCACCTTGGCGGCCTATTTAAGCCGAAAGACTTCTGGTCTTACCCTCTGCTCTGTCATTGCTATTGCTGTCTCGTACCATTGTTGAGTTTTTAAACTTTCAGCCACCACCCCAGCATCATCCACCTGCAAGCTCCGACAGTGGGGATTAAGATATCATCTCATCTCTCCTGGTTTTCTGCATAGAGGAGTGATGAGGATGGAGCCTCAACACCAAACTCAAACTATATTCTGCTGCTGCAATAAACATTTCAAAACCAGTACAAAAGTCAGTGTTCTGACTGAACTAAAATGACTACAGGACCAGGAACCAGGCTGTCCAGATTTTGCCCTATACCCCCTGCTTAACCAGCACCTGTTCAAAATATTGGATTTACGTCATCCCTTTTCAGCAGCAAACCAAGTTTGTAAACTCAAAAGCACCTCATGGAGGCTTAAGGAACAGTGATTCATACAAGAGGTAGCAGCAGTGCTGTTAGGGTTAGACCTTACAAAAGGTGTGCAAGTGGATTTATTGGACTCTACAGCTATTTTTTGAGTGGAAAATTTTGTGCAGTTCTTAAGATTATAACACCAAATTTAAGTGATCCAGTTTATGACACACACATTTCTAGTTGAGGCTTTCTTTGCCAGTTCTGTTGCTCACCTATACAACCCAAGAAAGTAATGCTGTTCACTGCTGCTCCTTGTGAATCACCCTGTCCCACAGTTTTCTCCTCTGTTTACTCTAATACTCCTCTCTTCATGTTGAGAAAAAAAAACATCTCTTCTCCTCCGCTTCTGTTTGCTTACAGAGAGCTATAATTATTTCAGGTTCGTAGAGTGCTGACTCTCTTCACACATTCAGTTGACAAGTGACAAGATTATGGGAATTTGAGCCAAAACACACATAATTGCTCAACTCTTCTTATGCAATCAAGAGGGACAAAAATAAATCCATGTATTCTGCTCCTTCCATTACGCTGTGCCATTATCCTACTTTTTCTGCTCCACAATCAAGCTTTTTACAAACTTCCAGATCCTCCTTCCTCATTTAGATGAAAAAGCAAAACAAAAAAAGCCCCCTTGATGCCATCACACTATGAACTTTTAACCCAGGATGATTGACAGTGGTCACAGGATGCTCATTTGGACGATGTAAGCGATGCAGTGGGACATTCCAGTTCAGTCTAAGTGTCTTACCAAGCACAAACAACAAATCCTACTTCTGTAAGAGTAACTCCAGTCAGAATATTTACCAAAGATTACAGAAAAGCAGCAGAAAGGAAGA